TTTCAGGCTTGAATGGGTTCTTAGTAGGCGTGGCTAAACGCAAGCAGCAAACTCATCACTTCATATACTTGTCAAGTATAGTGAAAAAGCTATAACTCTCCTCCTATCCTTCATATATTTGATGTTTCCTGAATTGCGGTGGAAATAGCCGATGGGCGTTGGTCATTTCATTTGAGGGCCCTGGCTCGTAATGATCTCCAACGTCCGCTGTGTTTATTGCCAAATGCTAACACAGCTACACATATTATTAGTTGCCGTAGAAGAACAACATATTAGTTGAAGAAATGATATTTTTACAAATAAAAGCTGCATATCTTCTTCGGTCTGTAAATATATCAAAGGTGGATATTCAGGGATTCGCCAAAGTCCACACTCCACAAAGGATTACATGTTGAAGTTGTCTTAGGAAGTTTGCAGCATAGGGAGACAGGATGTAGCAAACTGCAGTTTGCGCTACCCTTATATCCTGTAAACATGGATCGCGGTCCAGAACAAAACTAGCAAATGGCATAATTTCCAATCTGCTGCTATCGCCTTTCAAAATCTAGTGTATTGCTTACGAAACAAGAACATTTCATGATCATAGCTCCCTCCCCATCTCCCATCAAGAAAGAAATACTAGCGTGGTTTTTGATTTCATGCGGAGCCTAGTCGTATGTGATTAAATGAGCTAGTACATCCTAGTCATTCTCAGTTCATCCCCGACGCAACCATGTGAACCGCCAGAACCCATAACACGCTGTGCTGGTTTCCTTTTGAATGGCGTGAACGCCTATTCTTGAGTTGTTTTCATTTAGTTGCATTGTGAATAGCTAATACGAACGAGGTCGAACACTTCCACAGATGCATTTAAAGTGAGCAATGCGTTTGTCATGCTAAGCTCCATCGTAACTATCTTATTGCCTAATTGTTCTATTTTTCTTTCTCATTAGTTCATCGTACGTTGTTGAGTTTCACAATGATTTCACATAGTTTAGGCCTTCCTATGGACGAAAGAGTAGTGTTGAACGTCGGTGGTGTGCGACACGAAACATATCAAGCTACACTCAAGAAAATTCCAGCTACACGTCTCAGTCGGTGAACTTTCGGCTCTTTTCTGCAGCTGTGTTTTAACATTATTGTCAATATTGAAGTTTTTACTACTTTTCAAAGTCTTAAAAGAAGCAATCTCGCGGATTTTTGTTGAGAGGCCAGTCTAGATTACATCGTTTGTACAGAATGGATCTAAATAAATCACAGCTCTTATACAAGCCCTCCCCTTTTCGCTACTTGATCAAGAAAACCTATTTTCTAACCTATTTACTACTTAATTAACGCTTTTCGGGACATATTTAACAAGAAATTTCCTGCGTTTCGAGCTATCGTTAACATATTTCAAAGTCTCATACATGCGTCAAAGCACCTAGTTTTATGCGATTGTCTCAGCAGTTGGCACTTTTTCTCCTGCTGTTTATGTCCTCCTTCTAAACTGGTTTTTGATCTCATATTTCATTGCTAATTCCTCTCTTTAGTTATTGTTTTGTCAACAATATGTTAACGTTCTTCCTGAAGACGTTATGTTCTTCAGATATATTCAAAGGAACCAAGTACAGATAATGAAAATAGTTACGCGATTTATTTGAATGAAACTATGTTGATTGCATGTGGGAATTGGCCATAATTCAAATCTTCATACAATTTTCCGATGAAAACTCTCATAGTACCCCTTTTCAGCCTGACGCCATCACTTGCAAATTTTGATCCTCTATTAAACGAGTATTTCTTTGATAGGCACCCAGCTGTGTTCGCACAGGTATGGATTCTAGAACCCTTTAATTATAGCTATTACAACATTCAAGGTACTTAATTATTATCGAACGGGTAAGCTGCACTACCCAACGGATGTCTGCGGTCCATTATTTGAGGAGGAACTTCAGTATTGGGGCTTGGACGCTAGCGATACGGAGCCATGTTGCTGGATGCAGCTACTTCATGCAAAGTAAGCAATCCCGTTTTTAATAGATATGTCGAAACTGACGGAATCAATTCTTATTTGTTTAAAAGAAAATTTTACAGGGACACACAAGAAACTCTGGCCGTTCTCGATCGAATGGATGTTGACAGAGAAGACGACCCTCAACTCCGTGAGCAAGACACGATGAAGAAATTTGGCTGGGAAGAAGACTACTTTCAGGTGATCGATCCATCCATTCGAGCATCTTAGGCTGTAATTTCGTCATTTGTTCTAGTATAAACCTGGATGAGAGCTTGAAGAGAAAACACAAGAGCTCTTCAACGGCTTTTGAATTAATGTCTATTCACAAGAATGCAGCGAAGATTGCACATTGCATTCGTATAGACTTTATGTGAATTTCTAGAATTTCGCACAAAACTTAGCTAGAAGTGATTTGAGTTACAAATCAGCATGCGTTGAATAAGGTACAAATATTCGTCCAAACCAAGACAGACATCCTTTAATCTTCTCGTCTAAGCTCGTAAGTTTTTTCTCAAACTACCTTTCCTATCATTTAACTCCAAAATTCAATATCTTCCCCATGAAAAATCGCAACACCGAAATTGCACTTCTTCTAAACCTTTCATCTCAGATCCTATAATGGGCTCCCAACCCTGCACTACACTTCCGTATATTTCTCTGTCAAATTGCGCTGCAACAATTTAACGAGTTCCCGTCTACGAAGTCTGTAGTCTCTACGCTTTAACGTGTTGCTGTCATCAAATAATAAATTTCTACTGCCTTAACTATCCTGTGCGATGTTTTAATCTTCTCTTGTTTTGCTTCCTTCATTCTTTTTGTTCACATTAGCGAGTCTAGATGGGATTAAAACGCAACCCTTTCTTTTGACAGACAAAGACATCAACTATGCTATGATTTGTTACTTAGTTGGGA